AGGAGACGAACATCGTCGTCTTCGACGCCGTGAAAGTTCGGATCTGACAGGCGAAGTCACAGCTTCCAAGTCTCGGGCAGGAGACAGGAAGGCGAAGGGCTCCTCGGCTGACTGGCGACAAGAATTCTGCAGCACAAACGTGGCGTGGCGGTGGCCTGTATCTCGATCCTGTACCAGTAAAACGACCTGGGTTGGGGGACTCACCGCCTCTTTGTAATATTCAAATGTCACTTTTTTGAATCTGACACAAAATAAAATAATTTTAAAAATTGAAAGGCCAAAGGGCATTCATCCGCGTCACTTCGTACAGCCAACAGAACGTCTCCTGATGAAAAAATACTTATCAACCGATCGCATCTGAAACGACGCGCGTGCAGATTTCGCCGAAAGGAAACTAATTAAAAGGCTCACCTGACACGGGAAACAATGTGCACGACGGTGCTGCTCTAGAGGCAGTGCGGACGACACGCAAAAGCACAGCCTCCGGTTACACGGGGGAAAAAAATGTTCGGAGAGCGCCCACTAACTACAGTTTATCAAACGTAATTTCGCCTCCTCGTATCCGTATAAAGCAACAGGCACCCCTGAGCCACGAGAAACGACGTTTCGAAAGCAAATGTCCGTCCGTCTCCTTACCCGCCTCTGCTTGTGGACAATTCGATTATACGTCTGTTATATAATCTCTGAAATAACATCTGCACTGCCATCTATTAACAATTTTAGACAACAACTGGCAGTGCCTTGGAAACTGGAAAAGTGGAAGATTAGGTTTGGTTTACTGCAAGAGTTTGCATGAAGTTTATAGTTAAAATTAAGTGCAGCTGATCGAATGATACTAAAGCAGGCATGGTCTGTTTTGAAGTCGTAACAAAATGTTTTAGGAGAATTTAAAAAAACTAAATGGTACTGGATATGACGATGAAAATCCCCCCCTCTCGAGTGCCAAGATTGGTAATGATTAGGAGCTCCTCCCCTGAGCGCCTACACTCAAAAGACAAAATGGTAGAAATCGAGTACTTCCGCGTGTTCGCGTGTGAATGACTTAGACGGAATTTCCACCCCATACAAGAGGACGACAAGTCTTGAGAGAAATGCGTAGTCCTGTCCTGTAAGAATTGGACCAAAATAAGAAGTAGTCGATCCTATCCGCGTGGTAACAATCAAGTACGACTTAATTAGTGCCAGGAGATGGGAGTAGATCCGCCATTCGTACGAAATAAAGTCAGTATTTTATTGACAGAATTTGGAACCAAAATCTTTGAATCCCCGAAAGTCTGGACAAAACACAACGACGCACTTGAACGCGCCTATTCAACTACCGCAATCCGACAGCTCTGACACTGATAAAGAGTCTTCGTTTGTTTTACGACGTCTAAGTAACTACCAACAGCTGTGCCTTTACAGATTTGTTATTTGTGATAAAGAAATATGGCGAGAGTCAAGGCACCGACATTTGTATGCGTCAC